TGAGTAAGGTAGGCAGTAGAAGAATTGATGCATTTGAGTTATAGTGTTGGAGAGAATAATGAAAGTACCATGAACTGCCAAAAGAACAATCAAATCTGTATTAAAAGAATTACAGCCAGAATGCTCCTTGGAAGCCAGGATAGCCAGATTTCATCTTTCACACTTTGGACATATTATCAGGAAGGACCAGTCCCTGGAGAAGGACATTATGTTTGATAAAATGGAGGGTCAGAGAAAAAGAGGAAGACTCCCCCAATGAGATGGATTGACACAGTGAAATCAGCAATGGGCTTAAGCACCCCAACGATTGTGAGGTTGGCTCAGGACTGGGTAGGGTTTTGTTCTGTTGTACACAGGGTTGCTAGGAGTCGGTACTGACTCAATGGCACTTAACAACAGCAGCGAAGCATATGTTGTAGAAGCATACACACACACAAAATCACGTTTTCCCCAATGTTGCCTAAAACTCAGGAACATTCTAGGTGTTTAAAAGAGATAGGACTTTAAAAGAGATATGCGAAAGAGTCAAGATTTAAGCTAATTTCTCTAAAGATTTTGATTCTATGTAAAAATAAATAAACAAATAAAACTGAAAAGGAAAGAACAAACAAGTAACAACTGTCTACCATCCTAAGTCATCATAGTTTAGGATTTTATCCTATCTTTTCTTCCCAGGAAAACAGAAACTGTGACAGAATGTCTATTAGAAAAAAAACATTGTCTATGGGGCTAGTACAAGCATGATTCATATTTTCTAGATGACTCTTCCCACTCTTCCTGTAAAGGGAAATGTGTTTGGTATATCCTTCCCCTCACAAAATGCTGAGCTGTTCTTTTAAACTAAGAAAGGTGTAGTACAATTACTACATTGGTGTGATCTTTTCTCACAAGTAACTAATGCTATTGCTTAATAAGGAACAGTAAACCTGTGCAACTGTTTTGACACATGTTACAACAGGGAAGGGTTCTTTTTTTCATGACAATACAATCTACAATCCTTTGAAATAAGGGCCTCAGCTGAAATTCTTAGAAAAGATGGATCCTGATATCCTAAATCTAGTATAGTTATTCCTTTACTTCAGACTTGGATTTGCTTATTTATTGTTGTTGTTGTTAGGTGCCATTAAGTCAGTGCTGACTCATAGCAACCCTATGAAAAACAGAACAAAACACTGCCCCGTCCTGGGCCAAACTCGCAATTGTTGCTATGCTTGAGCCCATTGCTGCTGCCACTATGCCAATCCATCTCATTGGGAGCCTTCCTCGTTTTCTCTGACCCTCCACCCTGCCAAACATGATATCCTTCTCCAGCGACAGTTTTCCTCCTGACAATATGCCCAAAGTATGAGAGACGAAGTTTAGCCATGCTGGCCTCCAAGGAGCACTCTAGCTGCACTTCTTCCAACACAGATCTGTTTGTTCTTTTTTTTTTTTTTTTTTGTTTTATTGTGAATTATGTGATAGTTTACATGGGAGAACATTAGCTTTATATTCATCCTATCAAATGTGGTTTCATTGTCATAGTTACAATCCCCTCCATGCATCATCAACCAACCAAAGGGTATACCCTGCAAGCCTGCCCCCCCCAGTTGTCAGCACACAGCCACTCTCCCTCTAGATCTGTTTGTTCTTTTAGCAGTCCACAGTACTTTCAATATTCTCCTCCAACACCATAACTCAAAAGCATCAATTCTTCTACTGTCTTCCTTACTCACTGTCCAACTTTCACATGCATATGAGGTTACTGAAAATACCATGGCTTGGGTCAGATGCACCTCAGTCCTCAAACTGACATCTTTGCTCTTGAATACTTGTAAAAGGTCTTGTGCCACAGCTTTGTCTAATACAATATGTCATTTGATTTCTTGACTACTGCTTCCAGGAGTGCTGATGGTTTAGTCGAGCAAGGTGAAGTCTTTGAAAACGTCAATATTTTCTCTGTTTACCTTGATGTTTATTGGTCTAGTGGTGAGGATTTATGTTTTCTTTACATTGAGATGCAACCCATACTGAAGGCTGTGGTCTTTGATTTTCATCAGTAATTATTTTAAGTCCTATTTACTTTCAGAAAGCAAGATTGTATCATCTGCATATCGCAGGTTATTAATGAGTCTTCCTCCAGTCCTGATGCCACGTTTTCTTCATACAATCGAGTTTCTCAGATTATTTGCTCATCATACAGATTGAATAAGTATGGTGAAAGAATGCAACCCTGGCACACACCTTGCCTGACCATTCAGTCAGTATCCCCTTGTTCTGTTTGAACAACTGCCTCTTGATCTATGTACAGGTTCCTCATGAACACAATTAAGTGTCTGGGATACTCATTCTTCACAATGTTGTCCATAACTTGTAATGATCCACACAATCAAAAGCCTTTATTATAACTTGAAAAATAAACAATGTAATAAATCCACTTTTATTTTATTTTTTTTCTGGAGCAACCACAGTCTTTAGCCAGGTAAAAATTTAAATCGACCATCCCATAACTTTTTTTTCCATCACTAAGTTATTTCTATCTATTTATGCCAACCATGATTAGAACTTAGTGTGGTGGTACTGTACACCATCCAGATGAAGCTGCAGATGTCAAATCTGGGCTCTAGAGGGGCTTATAAAACCAAAATCAAGCCAGTTGCTACTGAGTTGTTTCCAACTCATGGAAAGTGCCATGTATTTCAGAGTAGGGCAGCCTCCATATGGTTTTCACGGCTGTGACTTTTCAGAAGATTGTCAGACCTTTTTTCTGAGGTTCCTGCAAGTGGATTAAAACCACCAACCTTTTAGGTAAACAGAACTTCATCATTTGTACCACCCAGGATATTCTACTTTGATAACTGGGGCAAAGTCCTCCTTCTGTCTGTGTCTCCATTTCTTCATTCATAAAACAGACTCCTTCTGGTGGCTATTGTGTTAAATAAGTATAATAAGTAGTAAGCGTAAAGTTCAATGAATTGAAATCACACAATAAGCATTGTTTTTTGTGTGTTGTCTAGTCACTTCTGACTCATGGTGGTGGTGATGGTGTGTCATGGAATATGTTCCGACTCATAGTGAGACTGTAAATCTTTATGGGAGCAGAAAGTCCCATCTTTCTCCCATGAAATGGCTAGTAGTTTTGAACTGTTGACCTTGAGGTTAGCAACCCAACTTGTAACCACTGTGCTACCAGAGTTTCTGACTCATAGTGACCTTTAAAGGATTTCTGAATGTGACTGGTTGGTTTAACTGACAATCTTGTGGTTAGCAATCCAGTGTTTATCCTACAGTGCCAACCATTAAGCATTAGCTACTATTATGGAGTCCTGGTGTGGCACTGTGGGTTAATGCGCCAGACTGCAAAGCCATTTGAACTGCAAGGTTGGTGGTTCAAGCTTACCAGCTGGTCCTCAGAAACCCTATACAGGGTCACTATAGGTCAGAATTGACTTGATGGCACTAACAACTATTATCATGGAGTCCTGGTGTGGCCCTGTGGGTTAATGTGCTGGAATGCAAGGTTGCTTTGAACTGCAAGGTCAGTGGTTCAAGCTCATTAGGAAACCCTATACAGGGTCACTATGGATCAGAACCGACTTGACAGCACTTAACAACAACAACAACAACCATTGTTACTCTTCTAATTTTTTTTTTCTCGTGATTTCTTGTTATACCAGATAATTTTCTGATTAATCGAGCTCTGGTAGCGTAGTGGTTACGAATCGGGCTGCGAACCTGAAGGTCAGCGGTTTGAAACTACCAGCTGCTCCGCAGGAGAAAGATGAGGCTTTCTACTCCCGTAAAGATTTACACCCTCGGAAACCCTGTACAGGGTCACTATGGGTCAGAACCAACTCAAAGGCACTTAACAACAACAACACAACAATTTTCTGATTAGATAAGCAGTGGGGTCAGTCAATAGCTGCTACCATCTGCTAATGAGCAGGTACTGTGACGTGTGTAAGAAATAAAAATATAAAAATACCTCTAGAAAATTTGTAGTTCTCTGAGTTTAGTAAAATAATACACACAATCAAAGAAGAAGTAATAAATTACAATAAACCATTGTGGGCTAATTTGTACAGCATACACTATGTACTGTATAAACTCAGAAAATGAGACATCAGCAGAGATAACTTTGTGGAGCTGTTGGAACTTGAATTTATCTTAAAGAATGAGAAATATTAAAATTGGTGGAGGGAAAAGCAGAATGCACTGTGGATAATAGAGGATGGTACAGATATAGGTCCACTATGTTCTTGGCAAAGTGAAGCCCCTAACCAGTCTGACTTCATTTTATCCTCATATATTTTTTCATATCACCACAAAAGTTAAGTTCAATATTTTCAATGAAGTAATAATGCAGAGGTTAATAGATCCATGACAGTATTTGTGATTGGACTAGCACATCCTATCTTTGTGTTCCATTCCCTAAACTAGACTAGTTCCTTTCCATTTTCTCCACTTCTGCACAGTGAAAGGCAATGCTTTGCCTCACAACTGAACTGACTGTCAACATTATCTTTAGATATTGTGATTTGCAGTCGTTCCTTTGCAGGCCTTTTACAAGGCAGTTGGGTGGTGATAGTTTTTAATAATCCCCTTGGGCATTTTCTGAAGCTTACATATCACAATGATGCTTCTCATTGTTCTCTAATGCCATAGCTTCCATAGCTCCTGGGATCTGTTTATAGAACAGCAAGATAAGAAATAACAGGTTTCTGCAACAGGCTGCTAGACAAACTTTTGCAAAATTCTATAGGTTCTTTTTTATATCAGTAAAATTTGTAGTAAAATTAGAACTGAAAGAGCCCATTAAATTGACAGTACTTTGTTTTTCCCTATTAGGACTTCGCTTTTTTACTACTGATCCTCCAAACTTATTTCTTTTGAAAAAAACAGTAGAAAATACACAATAATATTTTGAAGTATGAATAATGGAACATAATAAGCAGGATGACCAGTTTTTTGAAATTACTTATTTGAAAAATTCACATTTGACTTTATTTAAATATTTACAGGTGGTTGTGCTGGTTCATGGAGAGTTGCGAGTACAGGTAAAGTATGAACAAGATCTTTGTAATTAAAAGTAGCTTATGTATAAAAATTAAAATTGTGTTTATAAAAGATATACATTGACTTAATGTTTTAAAACATTTGACAATAGCAAAAATATATAAAATTAAAACTCTAACAACTAAACCAACAAGATGTTTAAATCAATAATGTATGAATGATATTTTTATAATTTAGCTCATGCATTTTTGCTTCATATCTTAAACCAATTAACATGCCATTATTAAGCAGATCCTATGTGCCCAGAACAATTAGGTATTTTGGAATATATAAAGAAAATACTTGTATAAAGCATAATTAAGTGCTAATATTAAGAATATGATATGTTTATAAATTTTAAATTTAATGATTCCTCCTTACTTCACAAAGTGTCTGCTAGAGCAAACACACAACCACTAGTTTTAGATCATCTTAAAATATAGACAGTTCCTCAACTTAGGTGCGTGCAACAATATTAAAAGTGAATATGGCCAACAACATGTATAATAAAATTGAATCATTTTCTACATAAGACAAGAGGAGACTATGGAGAAGATGGAACAGCCGGGCAACTTTCCAAAAGAAGGTATAAACGTGAATGGGTGAAATTTGCCAAACCTTGCAGAGAAAGAGAAGACAACTCAAAAAGAAATCCAATTGCCGAAGTAAGTCTTATCAGCAAGAGCAGTGTGATTTGTTTAGAATAAGTATATTAGATGTCAATTAATGTTGCAAATCTAATGAGCAGAGTGCCGACTGTGGACTCTACAGAACAAATGGCCTAGTATCTTCAACAACAAAAATATAATAATAACAATATAAGGGAGAGAGAAAGATAGTGGAACTATAGCTTCTAGTATTATAAAACAGAACTAAGAGACTTATCAACTGATTTCAACATATATGCCTTACTTGGACATAGAGTCTAGGAAACAAATTGAAATAATTTATGCATAAGACTTAGGAAAATGTCTGGGAGTAAAGATAAAACATA